AAAAAAAAAAAAAAAAAAAAAAAAAAAAAATACACGCCGCCCGTCGCTGCTTGCCCATTGGCACCTCCCCCTGCCCGTCACGCCTGCGCGGTGTCCGATTGGGGAGTCGCAGGGTGGCGTCCCGCCTCCCCTCCCAGTGTTGCTTGTATTCGAACCCTGTGACATAGCGCGGCGCCCCGGAAGGGTGTTTAAATATGCGTTCCGCGGCCGCCCATTGGCTCGTGCGGGGCGCGACGGGCGCGGTGATTGGAGGGGCCGAGCGGGGCCTGTGCTCCTTCAAGGGGCTGCGCCACGTGGTGAGCGGAGTCCTTTACACAGGGCGGGGACGACGCCTCAGGAGTCCGCTCGGAGCTTTGCTGCTCAGCCTCGCTTGCCGGGAGCCCGAGGGAAACAGGGAGGTTGGACTCAATGGGCACTTTTTTCCCCCTCCACAACGTAAATCATGTTTGGAGCTCAGCTCAGATCTGCGATCCTTGGAGCCCCGCAAAGTCCTGCCTCTGCTGCAGCTATAATGGGCCGGGGCCTGCACCTGCGTCTTGGGAGGACAGGGTGGGCTAAGTGCCTTGAAGGTTCTTGGAGGAGAGGCGATCTCTTTCATTAGACCAGGCGAGGAGTTGGGGAAAAACAGTTTTCTCGTTTTCTCTACCTCACGTCTTCAGCACACGGGTGCAGCCTGCTCCTCTCTGGGGTTTGCCCATGAACAAGTGCTGGGTGAGGCAATGGAACACGGATGTGAAAAGATGGCTGATGATTGTCCTCTTCCAGTCGTCACCTTCCCCACTCCTTCCCCCTAAACACTACTGGGTGGCTGTTTTTTAATGCTATGTTAGTACAGATTTTGAACAAAGAAACGTGATGGGAAACGCCTCCGCTGAGGATGCAGCTGACAACAGATGTAATCTAATGTGCCTTAAAAATAAACTTTTAGTTTGTAGGATCATTGGAGAAATTGGTCGAGTCATAAAAAACTATAGCATTGACATAGTTTTCACATGATAATTTTATAGGTAAAAATACTGCAACCTACTTATGCTTTTATTACCAGGGATCCTGGTTTTCTCACATAAAAAAAATTCCAATTTTCAGATAAAAAAAAGGTACCCAAAATCCACATTTTTTCCATGATTAAAATGAAACACCACTAATATTTGTCAAATACAACCGCTGATTTCCACATTTCTCCTTGATTAAAGTGATATATATATTGGTAGCGTTTAATTTTAATCATGGAGAAATGTGGAAATCATCAGTGGTGTAGGTTGTAGCTGTGTTGGTCTAAGGCAGGGGTGGGCAAAATGCGGCCCGCCGGGCCATTCTATCCAGCCCGTGGGGCCCCTAAAATATTTAGAAAATTAATATTTATCTGCCCCTGGCTGCCTCTCATGTGGCCCCCAGTGGCTTGCCGAAACTCAGTAAGCAGCCCTCCACTCAAAATAATTGCCCGCCCCTGGTTTAAGGACATAAGCAGTCTGCTGAAATCAATAGTGGTATTTTAAGCCTCATAATGCATAACAGAAAACTAACTTGAATTTTCAAAAGACATTGGAAAAAGCATCATCTTAAAGAGAGAAGGACCTACATGCCTCCAGGAGAACACATACATTTGTGAAGCGTCCTTGCTATATTTGTGCAATAAAGATGATAATCCCTAAAATAAAGAAGCCCTCATTGACACTGATGTAATACAAATTATATAAAATTGTGTTTCATTGTAATCACAGAAAAAAATTGATTTTGGGTTACTATTCTGAAAATTGGGGATTTTTTTTTTTTAATCAGAGAAAGCCAGGATCCCTGAACATCACTATCATGCAATCATTTGCATGATTGCATAATGATCTTTGCACCTACAGAGTCCCTCTGACTTCAACAGCATTCAGCAAGGGAACAGAGGTCTGCCCCAGGGAGACCCAATTGTTGTATCAGGGCCACAGTCCCAAATTAACCAATGGAGCCCCGCACATTCACATGTCAGGAACGTCATGCACGTGAATGAATACTGCTAGTCAGTAAAGCCATAAAGTTAATCACATGTATGTTCACAGAGCCTAGCTTTTGCAAAGGAATAAACTAAAAAGAAAATGAGCCCAACTTATTTTACTCTTCTTTACAAGACATACAGGAATATTTTTGTCTCATTCTGTTTGCTGCATTATAGCAAGGTGAGGTCCCCCCTACCCGTCTGAACATTAGAATTTAATTTCCCGTTAAGTAGAGTATTAAACAAAGATAATGTGAAACAAGAGCGAAGGCTTGAGCAATTCATTTTTAGGCAAGACTTCATTATTCTTGCTTTTTCATTAACATTGATTTAACTAAATGACTGAAGAATATTGGCGGCGGGGGGCAGTACTTATTAAGAAGCAGAGCACTGGGGGAAGAGGGAAGCTTTAAAAAGGTCCTTTTTTATAAACCTCAGAGAAAACGTTTAAAAAAATCCATGACACATCATTGTAAACTACTGCTTCTCTACACTGAACAGGAGTTGCAGATTAAAGTGTTGCCTGACCATCAGCTTGTAATATCGTAACCATTTTTTTATGGTAAGACTGAATACTATTTTTTTTAAGTTTTCTTTAAAAAACAACAACAAAACCTAACAAAGCCCCTCAAATTTGAAATTGAGCTGGCACACGCAGCCACTAGAGGGCAAAACCCACTAACCGTTATCACCACAGTAACAAAGAAAACAATGTCACCTCAAACATTTGCTGCTCTGGGCAGAAGAGGTCCCATTTTCATATTGTTATTCTACAGAGGCGACACAACATTAAAAATAAAAGTATTTTTCCCATTAATTCTCATTAAGGAGCTAGAGCTGGAAAGCCAGATGGGAACAATTATATTTTATCATCTGTGAGCATGTAACCTCCAGAGAGTCAGTCTGCCTGCGCTGGCCAGTCACCATGACTCAGTTCACTCGGCGCATATGGACGCTTCTCGCCCACTCGCGCTCACCACAGAGCGCAGCAGGCATATTGCTGGAGCCAACTGCAAAACCACTGACCTAAACATAATCTCTTTTAATTCTCTAACAGCAGGCACTAACGCACTGCCACTGACTGCAACTAATATGAAACCATTGAATAGGGGAAGGAAGAAAAGTCATGGCAAGATATTTGACTTTCAAAAAAAAGATGTTAGCACGCAAGTCCTAAAATAAATGTTTATCGCTGCTTTCAATTTTTGTTGCCTTGCTTTTTTTTAAATTGTGACTGTTAAGATACTGTACAGTGCTGAATGAAGTCTTCCTTTCTCATCAGCCTACATCTCTGTGGCTTAAAACTATTTGCAATTTAAAGCGTTCATTTTTATTTCAAAATCTTGTAAGTTATACAGCATTGATCACATTCATTGCTTAAGACTAATCATAAATGACAGCAGAATTTCCTCAGGAGATTAAATACTGACTCAATCAGTCATTAGTCTCTCACTTTTCAGAACAAGACACTATAAATAATAATTAAAAAAAGCCTGGCTAATAAAAGCCTGGAAGTACGATAGTGTATAACTTGCATTTATAAACGACAAATTAAAATTTTAACTAAGCAACTATTTAATCAGGTTTCTGACAACAGCTGTATGAGGGCCCTGCCACCTCTTCAAATTAAAACTGTCCAGCAGCCAGCTATAGAGTTGTTACACATTTGCAAGCACTAATTTGGTAGCTGGCTGGCTCTTTTCATACCTGGAAAGTCATTGTTATTGCATGATAATGACATGGAGCCAGTTTACATTTACTGTGTGATTCACCAACTCATTGTGTGATAATTACTTTACACTTGTGGCTGCTCTAAATTTATGATGCAATTAACCAGTTAATTGCGCAATGCATGTAATGTGTAACAGGGGCCTGAATCTACCAAACAGATGCCAATAGCAAAAATAGCATTGCAGGGCCCACTGAGGCCCAATTCATCAGGATACGGAAGTGCAGCAGACACACCAGCTTCAACATAGGCACTAGGGAGTTGTGACAGCAGCTGCCAGCACACATTAGCAATGCAGCACTCCCCGAGTTTTTTAAGCTACCAGTTTAAACTGCACATCCTCCTTAGGGACACCCGGACACAGTTCGTTACTGCAGCCCTGGCCGTAAATGAACAAAGCTTATGTGATCGATTTGAACAACTACAGTTGACCCTAGACACAAAAAGCAAAGGTGGCACATCCAAGCCCTGGTTCAGAGCCCGGTTCTGGAGGGGACTCTCAAAATTTGGGGCTTTTTGTCTTCTCTGCCTAGAGCTGCAGTTCTGGTGTAGGAAATACCCCGAGCCCAAAGGCATTAGGAGTCCTATGTGCAGGGATCCTGGTTTTCTCTGATTTAAAAAACAAAAAATCCCCAATTTTTGGAAAAAACGGTAATCCAAAATCCAGATTTTTTTGAGAGTAAAATGAAACACCATTATATAGATCTGTATATTAATGGTGTTTCATTTTAATCATAGAGAAATAAAGATTTTGGGTTTTTTAAATAAAAAACTGGGGGATTTTTTTTTTCAAATCAGAGAAAACCAGGATCCCTGCACATAAGGCTCCCCATGCCTTTGGGCTCAGGGTATTTCCTACACCAGGCCTACAGCTCTAGGCAGAGAAGACTAGAAGCCCCAAATCTGGCGGTCCCCTTCAGAGCCAGGCTCTGCATCCTGGCCCCCCTACAGGCTCCAGCCCAGCCCCTCCCCCCGACTTAAGGGCGCCCCTGGCCAGAAGCAGCAGTTACAACTGGGGGAACTGAAGCTAAAGGCCCACTCCGCACATGCGCCCAACCCCTCCTACGAAGCGGAACCCCAGCGCGCATGCGCCATTTTCTCACCCTCCCACCTTTCTCCCCATCATGCCTCGCGCGCGACAAACTCTCGCGAGAGCGTGCAATAACGTCCGCACGCCGCCATCTTGCAGCTTCGAGATCACGTGACTCCTAGAGACATTCTCATCGCTCTCCCCCCCCCCCCC